GGGAGGCTACAGGGGCCCGGCGAGACACAGATGCGGCAGTGAGGTCCAGGCAGGGGGTCTCCGAGTGGTCCACTGTCCTGCGGGAGGTCACTGCTTGAGAGGGCGGGCTTGTCAGGAGCAATGTCGGCACAGCCTGATGCTTGAGGCAGACCTTGACCGTGTAAGGGGCACTGGTGCAGTCTAGGGCGCTCACGGCAGGGTGCTGGGCTTCCGGCGGTGGGCATAGATTGGCCGTAGTACGCCGAGCACTTAAATCTCCGTGGGGGCTTGCTACCCGGAACACGCCGGCAGATGAAGCAGCCCGGGCTGTGGCAGTGCGGGGGGTCCGGCTGCTGTTGAAGGAAGACATGCGGCCAACCCTGCAAGTCATGAAATATGTGGGACTGGCCAATGTGTCTCACAACACCAGGAGTTCCAGGCTGGTGGCCTCCTGCCAGTGGCGCATGCATACCTGTGATATTCCCGGGGTCCAATGTGTGCAAAACGTGCCAGGGCAGCAGAACCTGCCTGTCGTAGCGGCAAGTGTGAGAACGTCGGTAAGAAGCTGATGCCTTGCCGCCAATTGGTCTGTTGTATCCTGGGCGGACGGCAAGGGACGAGCAACGGTAGGCTTGCCATGAGAGTACAGTACAGGGCAGGGGCACGCAGCATGTGTTTTGACCAGCCATAATCGGAGCACGATGAATCTGACGTGAAACCATGTCACAGACTGTCAGGACATCAGGCCACCTTTCCTTTGGCAGCACTAACCTGTAGGCCATGAAGAGTCGCTCCAGTCGTGCCAGTGGCTGCGCCGTGCCTTCAAGGGCATAAAGGAGGATACGGTTGATGTCCTGGTAGAGCAGTCGCCAGCTGTGGGACCAGGGCCTGTGAAGTCCCCAGCTATACCTGCCAGCCCTCCAGTTGCGGATGCCTGTCTTCTGGTCGGTCACCACATCCCGCAGCGTAGCGATACGCCGGTAGAACCATCCACGGAAGGGGGAGCGTTTGCCCATCGGTATCGGTAGTCGCCGGCCAAACTTGAGGCGATCTCCTGACGGCCTGGCAAGCCAGCTTGTTCTGGTTCGGCGTCTGCGGACAGGTTGAAGCTCCACAACCATTGCCTTGTCCTCATGTTGTGGCGCTATAGCCTGGGCTGGAGCAGAGCAAGCCTCCTCAAAGAAGGTGGCTGTCAATGTGCCCGGAGGCTCTTCTTCCACCACCACGGTGACCATGTCATCTTCGATCTCCGTCGCGACTGGCGGGGTCTGGGGCTGCATGGTAGCCATGGTATCAGCCGCCGCCTCCTTCTCGGCCAGTCGGGTCCTCGGCTGAGAGTGCCGTTTTGGCTTCGGTGGTAGCCTGGGCATCTTCTTCGGCTTGGGATGAAGATACGGGGATCTTGATCTTGGCCTGGATGTCGTAGGATCTCGTGAGGTGCCCGGGGTAGAAGCACGGTCCCCATCAGAACCAGTAGAGGATGCCGCCCGTTCCTGCTTGGCACCAACACGGGGCACCCCCAGGGCCCGGGCACGGCGTGGCCGCTTCGCAGAGTAGAGTGTCAGAGGCGGGGCGGTATTCGGACGGGAGCCGCTTGCAGTCGTAGAAAGATTCTGGTCATCATCGGCCAGTTGCTGAACCACTGCCCAGGCCTCATCTTCTTCTTCCCTACGCTCTCGTTCGGCACGGGCAGCCCGACGCTCCTTCTGTCCCGGCTTATACCTCCAGCGACCTTGTCGGGCATCCCATCCCATAGCTACCGATCTTAGGCAGTGTCGGGAAAAATCAATCCGAGGCCTGTAACCTTAGGATGGCTAAGTGCTGGAATTGGTGCTTGGACAGGCTGGGACAAAGTTGGGGAGTGGAAGGAAAAGAACATGTACCCCAAACGATGTATCCTTGGGCCTGGCACAGGGTCAACCAATCAAGCCAGGGAGAGCCACACCAACGCAAGGCGAAGGCAGATGCAGTATGCAGCACGGACCAAGGAGGGAACCACATGCTTGGCGAGGGCACAGGCTGAGCAGGGCCTAAGAGAAAGCTGCTGTACTTGCAGTGGCATCTATAGGCGCGAGACACGAGTGCCGGCCTGTAGTCACGGCAGGCATAGGAGTGGATAGAGGCGGGGCCTGACAGGATGGCTGCCATGAGGTGTACACTCGGCAAGTGCCATGCACTCAGCCTGAGGTTGTGGCGACCGCGAGCCGGCCAACCTGTGCACAGTGCATATTGCGTGTGCTGGGGCAGACCAGATAATGTAGCGGCCTGATCCTTGTCGACCGGGTGCTCCCAGCCACAGGCCTGTGTGTCGAATGCAGCCCAACCCTGCGGGGTCCTATTAAGCGGGAGGGTCCCTGCCGAGAGCCGGCTGCCCTCCATGCGACCTCGGGGGGGGGTACACTTAAGAGGCAGGTAGGGCCCTAGCAGCGGGGTGCAGCTACAACAGAGGCGGACAGGCACTGGCGGTTGATTTTCATCTCCGTGCCACTGGCCATTGATATCACATGCGGTCGGCCGGTGCTGTTCGTACCGTGATTTCCACAGAGAACGCCAGGTTATGTGGCACAGTGACCACGAGGGTGCCCGGAGATGGTGGCGTCGTGCCAGTTGCACCTGAGGTGGTCGTGGTAGTCGTCGAGGGTCCTGTGACAGGTCCACGGTGCACATCGTCCGTCCCTGGGCTCGATCGAAAGGTGCCAAATGCCGCGAGCAGGTCCTGGTCTGTTGACCGGCAGCGGTGGCGGCGGGCCGGCCGCCCGGGCCCACCTTCGGTGTCGCCTTGGGTGGCACTGCGGAGGCCTTGGCGGTGGGATTTGGGCCATCTTCATCCGTCGAATTGAACAGGTCCTCAATCGAATCTGAGGTAGCAGTGGGCCACGTGGTCGGCGCTGCTGTGCGGGCTTTGGCACTTGCACGATTGGCTGTAGCCTCCGCGGCAGATCCGCCCCTTTTTCTGGGCGCCATGAGTCCGGCTGAGAATCCGTGGAAGGTGCACACCGAAGACCTAAAGTGATGCTTGAGCGGCCAGCTATGCACGGGCAGAAAGAGGCTTGAAGCGAGTCAAGGCAACAGTCAACAGCTTCGCAGTCAGCGGCACAGACTCACTTGGGCCTGGACTCAGATTGGTGGTCCCGGACGATCACGGACAGGCTTCGAGCACAAGTTTGCTGAAGTACAAGTGTGCACAATAGCAACAAGGCATGCACCATCCTGCAGCCTACAGCTGGGTTTCGTTGGAGTTCCGCGGGCCAGCTAGTGAGCATACGTTCCTAATGCGGAGTCTCAGGTTTTCCGAGATCATCTTCATTGCTGAGAGCCAAGAACCTTAGCAGTAGTAGTAGTAGTAGTAGTAGTAGTAGTAGTAGTAGTAGTAGTAGTAGTAGTAGTAGTAGTAGTAGTAGTAGTGGTAGTGGTAGTTAGTAGCAGTAGTAGTAGTAGTAGTAGTAGTAGTAGTAGTCGTTGTCGTAGTCGTAGTCGTAGTCGTAGTAGTAGTAGTAGTAGTAGTAGTAGTAGTAGTAGTAGTAGTAGTAGTAGTAGTAGTAGTAGTAGTGGCAGTAGCAGTTGCAGCAGCAGTTGCAGCAGCAGTAGCAGTAGCAGTAGCAGTAGTAGTAGTAGTAGTAGTAGTAGTAGTAGTAGCAGTTGCAGAAGTAGTAGTAGTAGTAGTAGTAGTAGTAGTAGTAGTAGTAGTAGTAGTAGTAGTAGTAGTAGTAGTAGTAGTAGTAGTAGTAGTAGTGGTAGTGGTAGTTAGTAGCAGTAGTAGTAGTAGTAGTAGTAGTAGTAGTAGTAGTCGTTGTCGTAGTCGTAGTCGTAGTCGTAGTAGTAGTAGTAGTAGTAGTAGTAGTAGTAGTGGCAGTAGCAGTTGCAGCAGCAGTTGCAGCAGCAGTAGCAGTAGCAGTAGCAGTAGCAGCAGTAGTAGTAGTAGTAGTAGTAGCAGTTGCAGAAGTAGTAGTAGTAGTAGTAGTAGTAGTAGTAGTAGTAGTAGTAGTAGTAGTAGTAGTGGTAGTAGTAGAAGCAGCAGCAGGAGTAGGAGTAGGAGTAGGAGTAGGAGTAGGAGTAGGAGTAGGAGTAGGAGTAGTAGTAGTAGTAGTAGTAGTAGTAGTAGTAGCAGTAGTAGTAGTAGTAGTAGTAGCAGCAGTGGCAGTGGCCGTGGCCGTGGCCGTGGCAGTGGCAGTGGCAGTGGCAGCAGCAGCCGCAGTGCAGTAGTAGTAGTAGTAGTAGTAGTAGTAGTAGTAGTAGGAGTAGCAGTAGCAGTAGCAGTAGTAGTAGTAGTAGTAGTAGTAGTAGTAGTAGTAGTAGTAGTAGTAGTAATAGTAGCAGGAGTAGTAGTAGTAGTAGCAGTAGTAGTGGTGGTAGTAGTAGTAGTAGGAGTTGGAGTTGGAGTAGGAGTAGGAGCAGGAGGAGTAGTAGGATGCGTAAGAGCAGCAGGAGTAGTAGGAGTTGTAGGAGGAGTAGTAGTAGTAGTAGTGGTAGTAGTAATAGTAGTAGTAGTAGTAGTAGTAGTAGTAGTAGTAGTAGTAGTACTAGTACTAGTACTAGTACTAGTACTAGTACTAGTACTAGTACTAGTACTAGTACTAGTACTAGTAGTACCAATACCAGTACCAGTACCACTACCAGTACTACTACTACTACTACTACTACTACTACTACTACTACTACTACTACTACTACTACTACTACTGCTGTTACTACTACTACTAGTACTACGACTACTACCACCGCTACTACGACTACTACGACTACTACAGCTACTACGACCACTGCGACCACTACGACCACTACGACTACGACTACTACGACTAAAACGACTACTACGACTACTACGACTACGACTACGACGACTACTACTACTCCTACTAACTACTGTTACTACTAGTACTGGTACCAGTAGTACTGGTACGGGTACTAGTACCAGTACACTACCACTACTAGTACTAGTACTTGTAAACACGTCATTCAGGGTTCGTGAAACTCGAGGAAGGAATGTGTCTGCAAGCACCAGAGTTCTTTGGAATTCGAGCCTCGTGCAACAAGTCGCAATCCGATTCGGCAAAGTAGACGACCTCACAAACGCTAGTTCACAGGTGCAGTAAAAGCACGGAAGCTTGGGAGACTGGGCTCCACCTATGGGTTTCCAGGGCTTCAGGAGCCCCCGGCCTTTCAGATAATCTTAGGCTCTGGTGCTGCTGTCGCCTTGCAAACAATGAATCAAGCCAGCGTCCATGTATCTGCTGACAGTGAAACTGGAGAGAAGGCTCCAGCCGTACGATTTGCGGAATATCTGCAGCACATGCGCATCAAAATTATGAGTGCAAAGGTTCGCTTCACTGGCTCGACCGATTCATTTGCACTGGTTATGCATGTCGCCAGGTGGCATAGGACGCGACCAGTGCTGTGTCCCCAGCAGGCAGCCAGGAGATGAGCCCACCCAAGTCGAACTGTGCGGCGTTGTGCTGTGTGGAAACCGCGATGTAAAGTTGTATCAGCACGTAGTCTTGGTGTGTATGCGCTAGCTATCACACTCCTACGGAACGCCCAGCGTCGTAGATGCCGAAACTGCTTTTTCAACATGGAGAGTTTGATCGCAGGATCGTTACCTGGGAGGAATTGATCCCACGAGTGAGGGCGGCTAGAGCAAGGTAGCAACGAAGCTTGCTACGCCATTCAGACGTTCGCTGTCAGCAGCGGCGTTTCACACCTTGATTCGTGGATGGCATTTGCAAGAAGCACAACCCTCGGCCTCATCAAGGTCCAGATCCACGAAAGAGACATTCTCCGCCAGAGCCTGCCAAGGGACGATCGACTCGTGAACCATTTATGTTCCACGGATCTGCGAGACAGCAACAGAGGCTGGCACAATTAGCTTCCCCTGTTGGCTTGGGGAGCAATCAAACAGCAACGAAAGATGTCATCAAAGCAAACGCTGTGCCTCGCTGTCCACGGGTGCGATCGCTACGGGGGTCGTCTGCTCTGCCAGGCTTGACCTGCGACGCAACTCTTGGCCAGCACGTGCTCGGAGCATCAGGATGCCGCCCCATGAACGGCATTGCCTGGTGTACACAGCAAGCAGGTCGTAGCTGAGTTGTGCCGTCTCCGCCTCGGAGATGCAGCGCAGCTTCGCTTGAAGTGGCCGTGACGTGACTAGGCCGTGTTTAGGGACGCGGCAGGAACCAGCAGGCTGGATCCGCTGGTGGCCGTGCCAAGCTGAGATCGGCCCCCGAACGATGCCCACGTGTCGAGGTAGACCAAATAGTCCTTTCAAAGCTCCAACTTCACGGTCTCAGACAAAACGTCAACAAGCTGGCGCCACTCTTTAACTCTGTACATATTGAATGGGCCCATAGCAAAGCCGGACGACATGATCCCTCTCCAACTCCCTCTGAGAGCAACGCACAATTTGCACAAAACGTCAGCAGCAAAGTCAAACTAAAAATGCTCCTCTAAGTATATAGGGTCGGCCACCACCGCCTAATCTACAGATCTGCAAAGCCTGGAAGGTGCGACAACACACTAGAAACAGCAGCACAAACAACCCCTTTAATTTCGGGCATGGGCGATTGGCATGCTTTCGGTTAGAGTTCGTCCTCCCCCCTGCTTTGCTAGCTCCATTCACCCATAAATCCAAGAGCGACATCCTTCCCTCCCTACCAAAAGCCGACTCAAATCCGAATCCCTGAGTTCCTTGCAGGGTTCAGGGTTCGGGCACGACAGTCGAAACTCGCAAAGCCTGCACAGCAGGCGCTTGCGCCGGGGTCCACTGCAGGAGACCACCCAATTCCCCGCCATCCAAATCCAAGTCCAGAAAGGCAAGATTGGACCTCAGAGGTTAAGAAGCGTGCTTTGGAGATCAAAAGTTCTGCTATGATCTTGCATCGTTCCAGGTTCGAAAGGGCTTCGAGCATCCTGTTCGAGCTTTCAGGCGACAGGTTTGGAAAGTGCTCATTCCTGGCTGATGTGAATCCGGAGATTTTGAGTCTGGAGATCGACTTTGACCGGAAGAATGCACCGAGTGAGTGGTTGAGCACCTGCCGACCTTGTCCCGCATGCTCCGCAGACCGAAACGAGCATACTGTACTTGGTGTCCTAGTTTTTTCATGATCTACCCGAGCATCCCGAGCTCGCGGCGCGCTCGCCGACGTGTCCACGATGGCCAGGGCGCTGGGGTAACTCTGCTCAGAGAAGTTCGAGGCGGTGTAGATCAGGAAGTGCGTATGCGGAGCGAAGGCCTTGCTGGGCTGAGAACATTCCAGGGAGAGCAGCCCCAACAACAGCAGTGGTGCAAGTGGTTGCTGAAGCAATCGCAGGAGGTGCAGTTGTTTCCTGCGGGCATAAATAAACGTAAATCAACGCTTCTGGCTGTAACCATTGCTGATGTCTTCTGCATGCATGCAGAGTATGGCCAAAACTCAAGGGATCAATCCAGCGAGCTCACGCACTCAAGAGCTTCTCCCCCTCCCTTCTTCCACACAGCCAGGAGGGCTCGAGCTTCCCCCCTCTCGTTCTCTCTGTCTCTCTGTCTCTCTATCTCTCTGTCTCTCTTTCTTTCGCCAGGCTTGAGGGGCGAACCCCCGCTGGGGGCAGCCCGTTGTTGGCTGGAAGCACTGTATTAAGTGCGACAGGCTAGTCTACCGGCATGGTGGACAACTGGGTACCGAACACGAGAGGGCTCAACACAGCGAAGGGTACGTGAACTGAAGTTTTTCATGTCCATGCCGTCTGGAGTCTGGAGCTCCCACCGGGCAGATGTTCCACCCCTCTCTCTCTCTCTCTCTCTCTTTGCTTTGCTTTGCTAGGGGCTTGGGGCGGGAGCAGTCCTCCCGCCCCGCGCGGGTGCGCTGCCCCATCCATCATTTGGAATGGATGGGCTCTGTCTGTACTGAAACGTGTACTCCCGTTGTTCGGGAGAAGTGGTGGGTTCTCCCATGGTCGGAAAACAACATCATGCAGGTGAATGAGGTGCAGCAAAAGTGTCCGACCATCGGGTTCCCCTCGTTACTGAAAGAAAGTAGGGTGGGGGTCCCCATTCGGCATCGTGGGACGCGTTCCGTAACCAAATAAACAAGAAACATGTGTGCCGAGAGCGGGTGCCCCTGCCCTTCTGTACGGGTATCCCTGCCTGAACCTAACCCACCTTTCACGCCCTGCCTCAAACCGAACGGAAGCCTTATCCCAGCAGCACGACCTGTGACCTTCCGCTCAACCCTGAAACCTGCAAACTAAGCGTGTGCCCCTCTCTCGCTCTGTCACAAACGCAAGGTTAAAGGTTCTGTTCGAGAGAGTGGGCAACTGTAGAGTGCAGCGGGTCGGCCTGAGGGAGGTACACTTGAAACAGGTACCAGCGCGTACAGGAACTACGTTGAGTAGGCTAGAAAAACAGTGTGTGCCCCCCTTTGTGCCTGGCTTGTGCCGCGCTACCCTTCTTACCGCACTAACCCTACCTACCTGCCTGACCCTGCCTCACGCCGAACGGAAGCCTTATCCCAAGCAGCACCTGCGACCTTCCACTCGACCCTTAAGCCTGACTGGTAGACGACCAAGTTGGTGCTCCGTTCTCACAAACATGCCGAAAACAAAGTAGGGGCCGTAGCTCAAGAACTGAAAGGAGCAGGTTTGACAGGGTAGGCCTGTGTGTCCCCGTCCTTAGTCGTCTGAAAAGGCCGCTAGCAGCCTCCTACGCCGGTGGCTCACCGCCCTGGTGGGGCTCAGGTCTTCTTCGTCTGGTGCTCCACGGTGAGGCGGGTCGGCCAGGTGTGGCGTTGCGGCGCACCACGGCAGTGTAGTCCCGGCTGTGTCGTCGTCGTCCTGTGTTGGTGTCGTCTGCAGGTCTTGTGCCAGGCCTGGTGCCCCAGCGTGTGGAGCGAGTGCTCCTGACAGTCCCGGGCCGCTTGGTGTCGTCGTCGGGTACTCCAGAGTTGGAGGTCCAAACCCTTCTGGTAGTAGGGCTTGTTGTGGCTCTTGTCCCGGGTCGTGGTCTCGTTGCTGTGGTTGGTCGCCTTCGTGTAGTAGAGGTCGTGGTTGTCCTTGTCCCGGATCGTGACCGCCAGGTTGGTGTTCTCCTCGTCGAGCCTCGTGTTCACCAGGAGGTGTGACAACCGGTCGTTGTCCTGCAGCTGCCGTTGTCGCCTCAGAGCCTTCGCTGTCAGTCACCACTAGTTGGACTGGTACTCCAAAGTATTGGGTCGACCACTGTTGAAGGTCGAGGACCGCCGTTTGTGCCATGTCGTGCATCTGCCCATGGAGGAATGGTTGCAAGCGGCGCAGCGTGTGTAGGGCTCGTAGTGGGAGCTCCGGTCTTTGGTCCCCCACTGTCGGCTGGCTTGGTGCACGCCCTCCGTGTGCGAGAACGTCAGCTTGGTGGGGTTCTCCTCGTCTTCTTCGTTTGGTGGGCGAGCTGGAGCAGATGCTTTCTGCTCTCTCCAGGTGTTCTTCGGCTTCGCGCGGTGCCCCCCAAGCTTCTTCATGGGCTGCTGCCGCTTCTTCGCACAAGTGCACAACTCTGTCAAGGCTGTCGTAGAAGTGGTGGGGTAGGGTTTGCTGTCCCGTGGTGGCTGCTAGAACGTTGTTCATCAGCTCCTCCGCCCTGTCGGCCAGGTCCTCACCACGGTGTACATTTGCCCAGCAGCGGGCTGTGGCCTGGCTGTAGAACTGCTGGGTGCCTTCGAGCAGAAGGCGGTGTACTTGGTGCAAGTCTCTGACCGTGTCCGCGACAGAGTTGTGTGCCCCGGTTGCTTCTATTGCCGAGAGCATGTCCAGCTGCAGCTGGAGCATGTGGGCTGCCACCTGGTGTACGTTGGGTGGTGGTGGTGCAGTGTGGTATTGTACTCGCAGTGGTTGTGGAGCTGGGTCGGAGCTGCTGCCGGCGACGGGTGTGTGCTCCTCCTGCATCTCCGTTGGCTGCAGTGCAATTATGCCCTGTTGGGCGTATGCCATGATTTCTCCGGAGTCGGTGCTGTCTAGAATGCGCAGCAAGCATCTGCGCGCTTCTGCCATGGCTGTGGCTGCTTCTGTGGTTGTGGGTGCACGGTATCGTGAAATGCTCCTTTGCATGAGCTCTGTGTGGTCTGTGTGGCTGTCGCGGTTGTGGGCTTTGTCGTGGCTGGGCCATGATTTCTCGCTGTGGTCTCCCGAGTCGGTGGTGTCTGCAGGGGGTTGTGCCTCTGTTCCACCTGATCGGTAGATTCCAGGTGGGGGTGCCTTGGACCTGTGGGGGGTGGCTTGCCCCTGCTGCGGCTGTGGTTGTGGTTGCTGTGGTTGCAGTGGACGGGTGTCCTCAGTGTGCGGAGGAGGTTGCTCAGGCTGGTGGCCGTCTCGGTGGTCTGTGCTGGTGTGGGTTGGTACTCCTCCTCTTTCTGCTTCTGGGCTGCTGCTGCTTGGCTCCTCACCTGGTACGGCAGGTAACTCCAAGGAGTACCCGCCGAATTGTTCGAGGTGGGCATCGCCATGGATGCCATTGCCACGTCTGCCTGCTCCAAAGGAGAAGGAGGTGCTCCCCCTTTTGGTACCTGATGGCACCCTGGCTTATCGCCTTTGGCGCGTCCGCCACCCGAACATGCCATGCACGTGGCTCGCGGTTGTACAGCGGCCCCAGCGGGCGAAGGAAAAACGCGGTACCAAGGCCCACGTATTGGTGCATCGTGGGTTCTTGTTGGGTCACAACAAGTTGTGTGCCCGTGTGCCTCGGGATGTCAGGTGGGTTGTCGGCGATCATGTGCCTCACTGAGCCCATGAGCCAGATGCCTGCTGCCTCAGCGTGTGCCAGGTTGGCCAGTAGGGGTCCAACTGGCAGGGAGGGCGGGAGCGTCTGTGGCAACTGTGTCTCCTCCGCATGACGGCGCAGGAGGAAGAACTGGTTGCCCGTTCTCCAGTGGATGTCGTAGGTGTTGTGTCCTTCTGGTGGCGCCTCTTCTTCTGCTGCGGTGTCGTCTGGTGGTGTTGCTTGTGGCTGTGCTTCTGGTTCAGAGTGGGGCTGTGGCTGTGGTTGTTTTTGCGGGCGCTTTGCTGCCTCAGCGGTTCGCTGGGCCTCGTTCTGTGGTGGCTGTGGCTGAAGAGGTGGTTCTGGTTGTTGTTGTGGTGGGGAGCGGTGTTCTGGGTGGGGCACTTGTTGTGCACCCTGTGGTCGCGAGCTCGTTGGCTCTGGTTGTTGTGGTTGAGGTCGCGGCTGGTGGTGCGTGTCGTCTTGGTGCCGACGGTGTGGGTCTCCTTGTTGGAGTCGCTGTTCGTACTCGTGCTGTGCCGCGGTGTGCTGCTTGTCGTCGGCGGCTTGGCCGTGGCTGGGTGCTCCCAGTGTGGATAGTGGTTGTGGTCGTGGCTGCTGTTGCGATCCTCCGCTGTGCCTCTCTGCTGTGGCCTCCTCTTCAGCTGCTGCTTTGGTCTCTGTGGTTGCTGCGTGGGTAAAGTTGGGGCCGTGGGCTGGTGGTTGTTGCGGGTCCTCCTTTTGCTGTCTGCGGTGGTACTCCTCAGCTGCTGCTGTGCGCTGCTTGTCGCCTGGTTGGTCTGGTGCCCTGGCCTGGTGGCTGCTGCTGCTGCCTGGCGTGGAGGGCGGATCCTCTCCCCTCATCCAGGCGTCGGTTCTGCGCAGGACTTCGCGCATGTCGACATCTGGGATTGGCCCAGATGGCCTCTGGTGGAGGTAGCGGTAGAGTTGCCCTTCTGCTTCCAGCCAGCTCTGGCTGTTCGGCTTGTGCAGTCCGTGTTTTTTGAACTGCTGTTTCAGCCACTCTTTTTTGTCTCGAGTGGCTTGCCTTTGAGCGCCTTGTCCTCCTTGGCTGGAGCGTGGCTTGTCCTGTGGTGGTCGTGGTGGCTGCTGTTGGTGTGGTTGTGGTTCCTGTGGTTGTGTCTCCCTTTGGAGGTGCTGGGTGGTCCCAGCTTGCTGAGGTGGTGGTTGTGGGTCTGCTGTTGTGTCAGCTTGTGGTGGCTGTTGGGGCTGAGCTGTGGCTGTGGCAGTGGCAGAGGTAGGGTGCGGGGGTTCCGCCCAGTCAGTGGTAGGGTCTCCTTGCCCGGTGTGCCAGTGCTGGTAGTGTTGTAAGGTAGGGGCAAGGGGCAGGGGAGAAAGTGTTTGTGGTGGATTGCGTAGTGGCCGGTCAGTGGGGGCCATGTGTGGGAGTGGGGGTCGGTTGCTCTGCTGCAGTGGAGCGTACACGTCTGCAGTGCTCGTTGGTGATTCGTCGCCAGGGCTGTTGCCGGAGGGGTGTTCCCCTGCAAGTGGTTGGTGGTGGTTGTCGTGGGGGTGGTAGCTGCCGTGGAGCAGGTTGCTGGGTGCAGCTTGGGAGCTGGTGCTCCTTTGTGGAGTGCCGGTGTCTGACTGTGGTCGCCGTGTTGGCGGGTAGAAGGATTGTGTGGCGGTGGCCATGGTGTCCATGGTTGTCTCGGTGGCTTGGCTTGCTGTAGCTGAGGCTGTGGGGCTGCCGTCTGTTCCTCCTCCTGTGGCTGCAGCTGCTGTGTCGTCTGCCCCCCCGTGGGGTGTCACCGCAACGGGGGTTTCCACGTCCGTAGCTGCCGCTGCGGCTGCCGTCGTGTCCTCCTCTTGGCTGGTGTCGTGCTGGGCCGGAGCGTTTGCTGCTCCCTCTTCGCCCCCAGCCGTGGGAGCCTGGAGTTGTTCGGCTGTTCTTGTGTTGCCAGGTTGGCGGGGTCGTCGAGCGGTGGTGTCGTCGGCTCCGAAACCGCCCACGTTGGGTGGTCCGAGTCTCGCGGCGGGTCTCGCATAGGACCCGCCTTGTTCCAAAAGGCGGTAGCCCATCCACACGGCCACCAGAAACTGGAGTTTCATGGTGGCAAGCGGGTACGCGTGTCGGGCTGAGGTCACTCAAGTTTGAGCTGCTCTGCGAGCTGCGGGTCAGGTGCTTTGTCCGTGTGCCGCTGCGGACCCTAAACCCGAAGGCAAAACCTAGACTCTCTCTCTCTCTCTCTCTCTCTCTCTCTCTGCTTTGCAAAGGGCTTGCGCCACGGGTAGTCCCCATGGCTCGTGCGTCGGTGCCGCTCTGTCTCTCTGAAACTCTCTGTGCTCCATATCATATTTCGAGATCTTTTCCAGCAATTCACAGCCGAAGCCGCAAGAACTAGACTCGACACTAACTAGACCCTACGAGAGTACAGTCTCATCGGGTGCAATGATAAACCAGAGTAGCCCACAGCAGCATCAAAGTAATACTATCTTACCAACAGTCAGAGACTGAGAACTGAGAACAGAACCAAGCTGAAAGCAACAGCAGCAACACCACAACAGCAACAGCAGCCAACCGTACCGACAGCATGCAGCGACAGCATGCAGCGGCTGCGGAGCCCAATGTAAGTCCCCAATCCTTAACCCCCAGAGCCGATCCGAGCGGGGACGAGGCAAAGGGGTTCTGCACGAACCATGAACTCGCTTACAGGGGCTGGTATGCCATATTGAAGCTGAAACTGTGATCACCCGATTGGATCCAAGTAAGAAAATCCAAAATAATCTGCTGCGGAGGTGCAAAGTCTGCAGGAATGACCAGCTCCGCGGTGTCCCCGGGCACTGTGCCAATAAGCCTCCAGTCGAGGAGTGTTCGCTACAAACCTGGCGGGGGGATGACAGCGATGATGCCAGTCGTGGCGATTGTAGTGGTGAAGACAAGGGTGGTCCCAACCCGGGTGACAGTCGTGATGGGGATACCGACATGAATGTGAATACTGATACCTGTGGCAATACGACTGATACTAGTTGTCGGGTCCTGGCTGGCACTGGGACAACTGCAGTGGTGCAAGTAGTGGTTGCATGGTAGCAAAAGTGCCAGTGCCCGTGGTGGTGGTGTCTGTGGCGAGCCGCGCTGGCGGCCGGCGTTGCGGCGGTGTAGGAAGACGAGGGAGCACGAGATGATTCAGGTTTTGTTGATTCTTGGCGATGGCTTTGCTTTGCGCCAAACTGTTGTTGCACCAAAAGCGTCCAAAGTATGCTGCCCAGGCACTGTCGTCCACATAACGGAAGATTGGTCACCCGGAACGTCCTCGAATTGGAGAGGCAAGTCTTGTCTCAACTGCGCATCTGCACTTTCTGGCAGCAGTCACATATCGCGCCGGAGGCCTGAACATGGACTCTGAAGTTGCGATGTTCTTTATGCACGGAAACGGGCTTGGACTCACAGCAACGGACTGGCAAATGACCATTTCACCTGTGAACACAGAAGGCGTGTAGTCTCAAACTTGCAGTATCACGCTTGAAACTGGATACAAGACCAAGTCTCAAGCTCCAAATCTGCAACTCTGTGACCCAGCCCCGACTGCAGACGAAGTTACGACCCGTTGGTCACCATCCACAGCCCAGGTGCCTGAGTGATGATCCTGAGCTTGGCAAGTCGAAGTGAAACGCGCTTGCAGGCTTCACATCGCTCACCAGCTCAAGCTCGAACCCCAACCAAACCTGGCATTCGCCAAGGCCTAAGCGGTTGGCCGCTCTCGTGACCGCCACTGTCATGTCATGTCAATCCGACCCATTTCGACAAAAACAAGAGGCTGGATGTTCACGTGCGCGAAGCTCACCTTGCAGTTGCAGCCGCAGCTTCCTCCCTATGCATTCGGTCGCCGAAAGTGTGAGGTTAAGACTGACACATGCAGAAGCTCTACCCCGACAGTAGCGTTCATGTCCCTAGGCCCCCAACTGAAAGCTTCAAGAAAACTCCCTGAATACAGCGGAGGTATTGGTTAAGATTTCATTGCTTCTGAGTTTGAGGGGATGAATTTTCCTGCACATGGTTGTTGCTCCACCCGTGTCAAGACGCCTTTGACTGAAGAATTTGGGCCGCCCCTGAAATCTGGGGCACAGTCTGAACGCGGAGTCTTGTTGAACCGAACAAAAACCCAGAAAAAAACACCCAAATTTAGAATCCGAGCCCTTTCATTCTTAACTTGAATAGTGGTCCTTCCCCAGCTGAACCTCAGAAAACCACAAAATAGAGAATCTGAGCCCTCAGATTCTTAACTTTAGTAGGCTCTTACTGAGTCTGGTTTCCAAGTTGGACTTTTAAGCAACGTAGGCATAGAGCAATGTGCCTTGTACATGCAGATGCCAGCCGATCAACATACGCATGTCCGGTGTGAGGGAGCGTCTTGCATGGTTGTGCGCTGCCTTTGAGCTGCATAAGCCTTGACCGTGACAAGCCTTTCACCCACAAATGAAGCTAAGAATCTGAGGGCTTAGGTTCTTAATTCGGAGGTTTTCTGGAGCACATAAAAGGGATTTCTATCCCTCTGCACTTTAACAGGCTCTTATTCGGGCTCGTGACTCGTTCCCAAGCTGGAGACCTCAGAAAACCTCAAATTGAGAATTTGAGCCCTCAGAGAAGACTGCTTTGGCATAATGGTTCTTCAAGCCTCCTTAATTTCCGTGAGCTAAGAATGTGCTAAGAACCTGAGCCTCCGTGAAACCTGCAGAACGCCCAAACAGTCAGGAAACGCAAGATGAGTAGAGCCAAGCATCGGAGCCTCCCTAACCTAGCACTAGGAGATTCTTAAGCAGCGACCCTTTCGCTGCACCCCCAAGTTTCAAAGACCTGAGAGCGGAGCCATGGCAAACGACATCACCGAAGAACTTGGAACGCCGGCAGCCAAGAGAGCCGAGGCCTGGGCAAGTGCAGAATCGGCGAATTGTGGGGCAACTCCGTCCAGGTGGAGGGATTAGGCATCCTCTCCGAACACAGCACTGTTCCTCGTGGCCCGCTGAGTGTCCAGGAAGGAGCTCTCGACAGAAGACGCTTGTAAAACCAGGAGCTTTGTGCAGTTTAGGCCCCAGCAAAGGTGGCTTCGAAGCTGGCCTGAGCCGGCGATGGTCTAGGTCTGCTCGCGAAACGGATGACAAGCTTGGGTACCCAGAATCGAAGACTGTCATGTCTTCGGGCTGCAGCTGACTTGGACAGCTGTGAGCTAGGTAGAGTACATAGAACTTAGGGGTGACGTTCGGAGCTCAGCAACATGGACCGCCCAAGCCGAGCAGCAAAGTTCGATGCAATGGCAGATGCGGAGTCCACGATGTCCTGAGCCGCCCACATTCGGGAAAACAAGGCCCTCGGCCAAAGTCGCAACCTCTAAAGGGGAGCCGCTGAGGGCTGCCTTACCAATGCCTGGAGTAGTGTTCAGGCCAAGGAACTGCTGCCTCCTCCACTGCTACAGTGAGCTGATAGCTGACCTTCGCCAGGTCTTCTTTCGGCCGAATTTGCATGCAGCATTTCGCACACTGCAAATGCAAAGCACCTTGCACACTTACAGGTGCTACAGAGTGCAGCATTCGGAGTTCGCTCCTGTTGATCATGCTTGCTTGGCTGGGTCAATCTGAGACATCTGCGTGGAAAGCTAACCGCTAACCTCGATGCAAGAGCAGAAACAAGAAGCCCTTCCCACGTTTGCTAACCCGCCCTAGCATTACATCCGGCCACTGCGGATCCGCTTGCAGCTTCGGGCTCAGGGGTTCGGAAGGATTTCAGATGTGAGGGTTAGCAAGCACACATGGGGCAAAAGGAAACACTTTCCAGGGCATCCGCCTAAAGGCCCCCTAGAGTCCCCAAAGTTGCATATGGCTGTGATTTTTGAGATGAGGTGTAATGCCTTAGCGAGCATCGACGTGCTCCAAAATTTTGCTGCAGCGAGCACAGACTCCTGGAGTACTGCCAGTACAGGGGTATGTTTAAGGACCTGAGGCCTTGTACGGGATTACCGGACATAGAGTGAATGATGCCTAGAACAGCTGGACATAGCTGGACTGCCTCGACATGTTGGGATGAAGCAAAGGAGCCGATAAGGAAAGTGGGGCTATCGGCCAGCCGAAGAGAAGCTTAGCTTGAAGGGTGCGTGCTCCATGCGTTCTTCATGTTCCTGTATGTAGCCTGGGTCCTCAGTGGAACAATCTCAGGGGACCTCGTAGTCCGGAGCTCGCGGCCGAAAACCCTGAAAGCGCCCTCGCATCTCGAAAAGACCCTCAGCCTCTGCAGCAGACATGAGACATCCCCTCCAGGCCTGGTACGTGCTGCTCAGCAGCCGCGCCAGACTCGGGGTCCAGGCAGTGGCCAATCGTCGCGCATGGGACACCTGGATACCTTGTGTTTTCATGTTGCAAACTCTGAGCATCCAATTACTACACCCAGGACAACTCCCAAAATGTGGAAACGTGTCGGGTCGGGTTTGGTTCTCGGGCTTAGCACACCGGCAGGCTGAACTGCGGACGACTTGCGGACAGAAACTCCTGAAACCTAATTCATTGTCCGTAGCTCCTCAAACTTTGAACATCTTTGAACCGAAGCCGAACCAAGTAGATATGCTGCTGTATAGATTGAGATATGGCTTGGGCATCTTCTTGGATTCATCATGCTCAGTCTACTGCGAGAGGTCTTGTCCCGAAGACATCCAATAGGGCCGCCTGACGCCCTGACCATTCCCACCTAGATTAGAAGCCACGCTTGATTTATCCTAGCTGTGACCTCGAAGCCCAACCCAAATGCCCATGAAAATTCCAGACTTTCACCTCAAGGCCGCAACAGCAGCAGAGCAAACGAGGACGACACAACGCCGTGCAGCAGTATCACCAGGATGACAAGATTAAGAACCTTAATCTGAATACCAGCTCACTGACGAAACATTAAGGCACCACGATCAACAAAACACTATCCAAAGATACTATGCCATTGCATAGCCACTTGCAAAAGCCCTCGTCACGATCCTAACAACCACGCCACACTCTCACAAGTTCTGTGAAAAAACAACATATGAAATACTAGTTACTGCAGCAACCATGATCACAACAGCCATGCCATGCTTGCAAGCATAGCGGCGCTCATCATAGCAGCAGTGAACGCAAGCAAAACGGAAGAGCATTGTTCACATGAAGTGGCTGAAGGCCGCAGTGCCCACACCGAAAGAGGTAGCCAAGGCTGAGCGCACCGCCTCTTCGACCTCTCTGCATCTCTTTGCTATTGGCTGCTGGGTCGGCTTGAAGTGGCTTTGAAGGATGGATTTAGGTATTAATTGGTATACGGCACGCGTGCTAACCGCGTTTTACGCGTGAGTGTGTTGTACTGGTGCCTCTTTCCTTGAGGATCTCTAGACTTGCAGGCGTTCTCGGATGAGTCTGCTTGCAGGCGTTCTGGCTTCAGCCATGGGCTCGACGGCCGGCTGCAGTGTTCCTGGAGCTCTGTCGCGCGAGTCGTGTTCGATGACTGTTCGATGTAAGACAGCCCATTCAAGCCCTCGATTCGGTGCGTAATTAGGCGAAACAATACTAGTAGAAGCTCGAATAAGGCACCCACAAAGGCACAATCAGTTTCTTGACATGGAAACACGATTGCGATGCCGCCGGCACAGCAATGGCAGTAGCAGTATGTAGGAGGAGAAGTAGTGGTCGTGGCGGTGGCGGTGGCGGTGGCGGTGGCGCGGTGGCGGTGGTGGTGGTGGTTGTAATGGTGGTGGTGGTGGTGGTGGTGGTGGTGGTGGTGGTGGTGGTGGTGGTGGTGGTGGTAATGGTGGTGGTGGTAATGGTGGTGGTAATGGTGGTGGTGGTAATGGTGGTG